CCATAACAAACAATAGCTTCTGGTTTGAATACGTTTAGAGAAAATGTTTTGAATATCAAACACGGGTTTGAGTTTGTTTGAAACTACGTTTCAGTCTGCAAGTGTAGGTGGAACAAATGTCGTGTACTAACAAGCCTTAATAGAAAAATATACACATTCCAGAATGAATCACATTCTATTAACTAAAACCTTATCTAAACAATTTAATTATACAATCAGTTTATCTTTACGTGATTAGTTATCGTTATGACTGTGTAGATATTCATAAGGTTTTAAATGTTATTTAGAAAATGTCTGAAAAATTACGCTAAGATATTCAAAAGGTTGAGTATACTGTGGAAATCAGCAAGACGTGTGACAAACACAGCCAATATAAAGTCATGGGAGAGAGTAATGTATCAGAACTATGTTTTAACATTATTTGGAATTTTGTAGCTAGTGTGATGCCACCAAAAAATTGGTCGGTTTTGTGATGGGCATGTAACAGCCGTTTCTGACACAAAATATTCAGACGCTCAGATCATAAGCTGTGTTCAGACTAGTGGTTTAGAATTTTCAAGATGGGGAATTTTCTTGTACTTAATTGAATTGGCAAACAGGAATATAGATCAACTTGAGGAACCAGGACTTATATAGATAGAAACATTTAACAAGTTATACCTCCATCCGTGGTAATCAATGTCTGGTGTCATGTAACAGGTGAGAATACACGAACATAAAGGTCAGGTGCAAAGCCAACTTCATGACCCAGGCAACAGTACACAACACAATCAAGAAGAATATCAGTATGGAAAAGCGACACGAATTGTTTCCATGACATATCTGTTAGACGATCATATACCTCAAAGGACACATTGGTCAAGTCAACTGATGCAGTATCTGTGGATTTCTTTTCAATAGAACTGTTGAAATGAGTACTATGATGAGTGGTATGCTGAAAACATGCCACCTTTATGAAGGATCCTTTTGCAATTGAAACTATACTATATTAGATAGTACATGGGTTGTAATTATATGGAGATCCTTCAAAATTGTTTTGATATGCTCGAACCCTTTGTTTCTGGAAATTAAATTTTTTCCCATCCATCTTTATATACAAGGGCCTAGCATGGCCAAGTGGTTAAGGCGCTCGACTCGTAATCGGAGGGATGCGGTTTCGAATCCCCGTCCCACCAAACATTCTCGCTCTTTCAGCTGTGAGGGTATTATAAAGTGACGGACAATCCCATTATTCTTTTGCAAAAGAGTAGCCCAAGAGTTGGCGGTAGGTGGTGATGACTAGCTGCTATTCTACTAGCCTTTCACTGTTAAATTAGGGACGGCTAGCGCAAATAGCCTTTTTGTATCTTTGCGCGAAGTTCAAACCAAACAAAACCAGTTTATAAATAATTGTCAATTTGTATGCTATAGCTCACTCTGAATCTAATCAAAAACACCTTAGATGTGAAAAAAGGTGCGTTCAAAATAGGATTGAGCGTGCGACTTAAAGGAATGAAATCAAAATTAGTGACCAAACTGGTAGCTACACTTATAGCATTGCTAAGAATTTCACAGCAAATATTCATTCATTAGTTAGCCAAGCCGCATTATTAGTTCAACTTGGGGTATGATGTTGGGTAAAACACCCTTTTGGTCGCACCTTTTTTCACACCTAAGCTAGTTTTCATTAGATATCATGACTACATATCAATACACACCACAAGCCACAGCAAATAAGAAAGTAATACTCGATAGTATCCAACTTAGGAATATACTTACAGAACCAACCAGATTCTTTGAAATATGTGGTGGTAGCGTTTGCTCTCTAAAACAGAGTTAATACGTTCTTTATAGAAACATCATGGAATCTAGATTAACAGTTTCTTGTCATCACCTGCATACATTCGGTACAGTCATATCAGGCATCATAATTTACGCTAATTGCTTAAGCTAATATAACGTGACGCTAAACCCTCTTTATTTAAGATAATTTCATAATTAGCAAATTTGTGTTTAAAAGTTGGCAATGAATAATACCGTCCACCCGTAATATTTTTTTGAAAACTTGAGTTAGTAACTGATAATCTAGTTTGGTTGGCCTAACTAATATTTATGTATTTGCGCGTGCTTTCACCCTATAGTTTTTCTGATATAATTGTTTGTTTGTTTTTGAATTTCGCGCAAAGCTACACGAGGGCTATCTGCGCTAGCCGTCCCTAATTTAGCAGTGTAAGACTAGAGGGAAGGCAGCTAGTCATCACCACCCACCGCCAACTCGTGGGCTACTCTTTTACCAATGAATAATGGGATTGACCGTCACATTATAACGCCCCCACAGCTGAAAGGGCGAGCATGTTTGGTGTGACGGGGATTCGAACCCGCGACCCTCAGATTGCGAGTCGAGTGCCTTAACCACCTGGCCATGCCGGCCCTTTTCTGATATAAATCAGCCGTCTTTAATTCGAATAATAAATAACTAAAAATAATCCATCTTCACTCTTAGTTGAAGCTGTAGTAAAAATTTCAGACCGATAGCTCACGGGAAAGTTTGCGTAGGCGTGCGCAAAAATGTTGGCCAAAATTGAGTGTTTTTGTTGAATAACTTTGCACATATGGCGTATATTTAGACCACATTTTACAACTAATTGTAGGATGTAAAAATATATTAGTGCATTAACTTTGAAAAAAAAATCCATGAAAGTAAAATATGTTTTTCTATCAAATAAAATGTCCGTACTTCGGTGGAAAGAAAAAATAGGAATAAATTCAATCAAAATTGGAGATTTTGTATCTTGTGTATTTCTAACGGATTGACTTGAAATTTGATATGTGAAGTAAAGGTCCATTAGAACAATCCACTAAAAATATGTGGTAGCTTGAATTACCATAGTCCGAACTATAGAAAGTGGAAAATTGCTAAACTATCACTCCTGTTATAACACACGGTGTATCCTGTAGGTTGTTTTGGCTACACGACACACTATCGTGTGTCTTGATTTCTAATTATAATTAGTTGAATGGACTAAGATGTTCACCTACAGACTAAAGAAAATAGGCTA